AAAGTTTTCCATGATTCTATGATTCAATGCAACCTCCTGTGAGCCTGCTCAGGTGTGAATCCAGCTGAGTGCCATTAACTGAACTCCTGGAGAGGTTTGTGAAGGATTGCTGCCCTCATTCCCCTCAAGAAGCTGGCCTCCCTTTCTCTTTGCCAACGGCCTGGCCCAGATTCCTAAAATTAGGGTTTCCATCTAATAACATCTGTTTTCAAACTTTGTAAAGAGAGTGAGGGCATCCAGGGAAGAAATTAGACTACATGATGTGGAACTAAGTGTGCCAAAATCTTCTGGAACCAGCCCTCAGCCAGAAGGACAGAAATGGGGCTCACAATGCAGCTTCTTGTTTCCGCAATTTTTCTGCTTTCTGTGCTCTTCCAGCTCCACCTGTTCCTGAGAGACCCCCAGTTCCACAATCATTCTATCGATGGGGTGTATTTGGATGAAAATGGAGACGTGGCAGCTGATTTGGACCTAGTGAACTGGGTTAAGTTTTCCAACAGGACAGTTGTAAGAGTGAAAGTTGGGAGTCTGGAACAGCTGGGGTTGCCTTGCCCCAAGTTCAGCATTCACCGAGATCCCGTTGTGTGGCCAAGATGGAAAGATCATGTGAAGACCATCCCCTTCATAACTTTGTTTTTATTTCCCATTGCTTAAGTAACATGAGATGGAATGGGTGCATGTAATGGAGGTAATGAATGTAGCTGGGAGAGAATGTCAAGCAGCTTTTCCTTCACAGGGTTAGGTGTAGCTATGGGATCAGCTAACTCAGGGAGGTCCTCTCCTAGCCACCCTGTACAGCTCTTACTCTCCAATCCACTGTTGCATGAGCCCCAATCAATTTTCCTTGATGGTTTTCCTTCCATGCTCAGCCCCGACCCCAGTCCAGGTGTGTGGAGGGCTGCCATCCAGGATTCCTCAAGGTGGCCAGGGAAGGAGAGCCCATTTGCTGCTATGATTGTGTTCCATGTCCAGAAGGGACCATCTCCACTCAGGAAGGTGAGTGATTTTGGAGGAAAAAGCATGGTCTGAGAGGAGGGAAGAGAGTCGAACATGCAATAATGTCAATTGGCATGGAATCCCAGATGGCTTGGTTGTTTCTGGAGCATCAGAGCAGGAAATCATACTCAGTCTTGGAAGGGTTACATGGGCCAAAACAGTATTGTGTTCTCTGTACCCCTTGTTGCTGCAGCAGTAGCCACTTTTTCTTGCGACTTGTTTTGCACCCAATATACATTCTTCCTTCAAGGGCTTTGCTTGGAAGTGTCCCATTACCCAGAAACTGCCCAACATGTTGTAGAAGAGGTAGTAGAGTAGGCAGAGATCGGCCCCGAGATTCTGCATGGATTTTCTGCACTTCCCAGGCATAAGTGACTGCACAGAACCACCTTAGGGGAAACACTGACAGGGGACTCCTGTGATACAACAATCATGTTGGACAACCCGTGAGTTGTAGCCAGATTGTGATAGCACAGTCATATTCTACAAAGGCTTTATTTAGGGAATTCCTAAAATAGGAATCGGTGTGTGTAAAGGAGCAGAAACCCTCACACTGGAAGATGGCGTCCCCGACATGTTGCGGGGGAGGAAGCAGAGTGGGCAGGGAGTGGAACACTCTTTCTGCATGACCTTTCTGCACTTCATAGGTGGATGAGTCCTCTGGGTTTTATTGTCTTGAGTTCACCCCTTGCATCTCAACAGTGAGGTACAGAGGGGATGGGGCTCCTGCCAAGGCTTGACTTCTTTCATACGGAGATCACAGGAACTCCTTACATTGACATTTTCCAAAGTTTATGCTTATTCAGGCATGCAAAGAAGCATGTATGGAATCCCATCCTGAAATATTTTTAAAGCTGACCACGTTTTTGGCTATCTCTAGATATTCTATTGCCAACTTCCATACTTCCAAGAAGCCTGGTTGATGAGGCAAATTCTTCTGTCTTTACTGAATCTTTTACAATTGAAAGGCACCTTATTTTCAGCGGCTCACAGGCCCCATTTCCCATTTTATCCTTGCATTATGGAACTGAAATTTTACATGAAATAACATGTATCTTGCACTAGAAATTTTGTATTTTAAAATCAATATCACCATTTAAATGGCTTATTATAGCAGCTGGGAATCTCTCCTATTCTGCTCCACTTGCCCGCCTACAGAACATCAGATGTTTTAATACCGTGGGACTAGAACATACAGCTGTCATCCTCAAGCGAAACTAGCATGGCCTGCAAAAAGGATCTGCTGAAGTTATAGGCAACTGGCCAGGTGGCCTGCTTGAGCCCCCAGTCAGGCATTCAAGGTGGGGAATCTCCCAGAAGAAGCAAGCATGACAGCAGCTTGTACAGCAGACCAGAAAAGTCCTATTGAGTGGAGATTCCCCATTCCTAAGTTAGAGTAAGGATCAAATTTGGATGCTGAAAAGGTCTATGTACTGATGATTAATTCAGGCTGAGGATAATGAGGGTGCACTGAAAGAACAGGTGATGCTAAAGATAAAAGGGAGATGTTCCTCTTTTCAGATGCAGAGCATTGCCTGAAGTGTCCAGAAGATCAGCATCCAAACAAAGCCCGGGATCAGTGCATCCCCAAGGTCAACGCCTTCCTGTCCTATGAAGAATCTTTGGGGATCTTCCTCACTTGCTTGGCCCTACTTTTCTTGATAGTCACAGGAAGCATCCTGGGAATCTTCAGGAAATTCCAGGACACTCCAGTAGTCAAGGCCAACAACCAAGACCTCTCCTACATTCTCCTTGTGTCCCTCCTGCTCTGCTTTGCATGCTCTTTCCTCTTCATTGGCCCACCAAGAAGCATCACCTGCGCCCTCCGACAAGCAGCCTTTTGCATCATCTTCTCTGTGACAATCTCTTCCCTCCTGGCAAAAACAGTCACTGTGGTGCTGGCCTTCCTTGCCACCAAGCCAGGGAACTGGGCAAGAAACTGGTTGGGGAGGAGTTTGGCCAACTACATTGTCATTTTGTGTTCCAGTGTGCAAGTTGTCATCTGCACCATCTGGCTGGGCATTTCACCCCCCTTTCCTGATTCTGACATGCACTCCCAGCCTGCACATATCATCCTGCAGTGCAACGAAGGCTCTGTTGTCATGTTCTATGCTGCCCTTGGCTACATGGGCTTCCTGGCTGCCATCTGCTTCACAGTGGCCTTCCTGGCCAGGAAGCTGCCTGGGGCCTTCAACGAGGCCAAGCTGATCACCTTCAGCATGCTTGTTTTCTGCAGTGTCTGGGTGTCCTTTGTGCCCACCTACTTGAGCACCAAGGGCAAGTACATGGTGGCCGTGCAGGTCTTCTCCATCTTTGCCTCCAGTGCTGGGCAGCTGGGCTGCATCTTCCTCCCCAAGTGCTACATTATTCTAGTGAGGCCTGATCTGAATACCAAGGAGCATCTCATGATGAAAAGCAAACCATAAATGTCTTTGGTAGTGTTCCTCCATAGATCAAGATTCTGACATTTGTGTCCTGCCCAGGGATGTAAATGAGGAGTACAGAAATTAAACTAACCAACAACATTATTTTGCACTTTCTAGTTCGTGGTAAAAAAAGAGGTTCCATATCAAATATGGGGTAGCATCAGGAAAGATCTTTTCCTAGTTAAACTAATTTGCTAAGGTTTCTGTTTTTTGATTTCTTTTTTCTACTAATGCTTTCTGCTTTCAAGTTTTTCTTGTGAAGTGACAGTTGGCACTTGTGCTTCTCACTTCAGGAAGGGATCAGTGTGAATGAGATGAAACACTGAGAAATACAAAGCGGAGACAGATACAACCTCAAAAGGCAACAGCTGAGGAATCCATGAATGCTGAGAGTTTCAATAAAAATGGGATGGCAGGGTGACCTATCCAGTTATCTATCTTATCTGTCTATCATCTATTTAAATGATTAATTTAAACAAATATTTATTCAAAATATTTATAAGCTGCCTATTCCATCAATGGCAACCCTCGGTCCATGTTTGCCCTATTCAGGATGGGTCTGCTCACCACCTGCTTCAAAGGTGAGGGGACCTGACTCTCCCTTAGAGAGGCATTTACAATGTCCTGTAACCTGGTAGACATCCCATTCTTGACTCTGATGAGTATCCATGAAATGCAAGGTTTGAGTAAACAGGTGGTGGGATGGACTTGTCCAAGCACCTTGCCCACATCCTCAGGCCAGTATAATTGAAACCTGTCCAACAAGGATGGACCACCCAGCACTCTTGACACCTCCCATTCAAGGATTAAATCAGCTGTGGAGTTCAATGCATGACAATCTGAGTGACCTTATGCCAGAAGTGTGGCTCAAAGTAGTCACAGAGGGCTGCCAACAGAGCAGAAGAATCACACTTGGGCCCAGAGTGTAACAGGCCCTGCAGCACTGGGAAAAGTACCACTGGATGGCACTGTGAGGATGCAATGGATGGAGAGAAGGTTTTCATCTTCCCCACCATAGCATAGCCCTGATGACCAACCCGGTCATTTCCACATTCCATAAATTGACCAGAGCATTGACAGCAGTGCCACTCATGTCAACCGGAAATTTCCCCAGAGCCCTCAGATATCCATAAAGATCCATTAGACTCAAGGGGCAGTCTAGCTGGATAGGTCCCACACAATTCAGAGGGAGAATGAGGCCCTCAGTCTAAATCTCAGAAGGAGGTGATCTGACCACAACCTGAGGCCGGCAGACGCTATGGCTGGACTGCGGAGCACGAGCCCAACATTACCTGCCATCATCGAGGATGCTGACATCTTGCTGGTGGCCGGGGAGTTCTGCGCTGCTGCCCTTGCCTCCTCCCTCACCGACTCTGGGTGAAGGCCACACCGGATTGAGGGCGAGGCACGGGGACGAGCACTGGCATACCTCGCCATACGTGGCCAGGCCGGGGCCGGAACTGGACCCCCCACCCCATCGACACCCTGCCACCACTGCCGCCGAACACCATGAGGCACTCTGCCAGACCAGAGGAAAGCAGACACCGCCCTTGGTGGCCATCGCTGGACCCGAGGCCGATGGACGCCCCGGCCAAACTGCAGAGCATGGGCCCGACATCACCCGCTGTCGCCGAGGACACCGCCATCTTGCTGGCGGCTGGCAAGATCTGCATGACCGTCCTCGCCTCCTCACCTGCTGGCACTCGGTGAGAGCCATACCGGATTGGGGGCTGGGCACTGGGACAAGTGCCGGCATGACTCACTGTGGAAGGGCTGTGGAAGGGCTGAGCTGGCCAAGGACTTTGTGGGTTTGCTGGCTCGTGAGAATAGTAATTTGTGTTGGGGCATTGTGGGAGTGTTTTAAAGGGTTTTTAAGGGTTTTTAATGTGTTTTTAGTTCTAATTTTAATGGATTCATCTCCGGCTTTGACTATGGAGTTTCCATGGGAGCAGGTGGGCGCTGCCATTAGGGTGGTCATGGGCAATCTGGGTCTAACGAGTCCACCTAGAAGAAGGAGGGACAGATGGTTAACACCTGTTCCTCCTTCTGGTTATTCCCCCAGCCTGAGGGTTCCAGGTAGGCTTGTCATCCGCCCCCCAGACTTGTCGGTGCTGTTGCTTAATGCCAGGTTGGTCCATAATAAATCATCACTCATCCATGATCTGATCATGGATGAGGGGGCCGACCTGGCTTGCATTACAGAGACCTGGGCAGGAGGGGGGGGATGTCTCCCTCTCTCAACTGTGCCCGCCCGGGTATCTGGCCCAGCACGACCACACCTGCAGGGGAGGGGAGGGGGGATTGCTTTGGTTTACCAAGCCTCTATTTCCCTCATGGGGCTTCCTGTTCTCTTGAGGCCGGGTCTAGAGTGCCTCTACTTGGTGTTGGGTGAACGAGACAGATTGGGGATTCTGTTGGTGTACCTTGTACCCTTCTGCCCAACAGTTTCCCTGCCTGAGCTGTTTTAGATAGTCTCAGATTTGGTGTTGAAGACTCCCAGGATGTTGGTCCTGGTGGACTTCAATCTCCACACCAAGATGGTTCTGACTGGGGCGGCTCAAGACTTTGTGGCCTCCGTGATGGCCATGGGGCTGTCTCAACATGTCACTGGTCCGACCCATGAATGTGGACACACTCTGGACCTGGTTTTCTCGATGGGGCAGGAAGAGGTTGAGGAACTTATATCTGATACCCCTGTCATGGTCAGATCACTTCCTCGTGAGGTTTGAGCTCGAGAGCAGCCTTTCCCTCTGTAAGGGTGCAGACCCGATTGTGCTGGTCCATCCCCAGAGCCAGATGGATCCGAATGGATTTCTGAAGGCCCTGGAGGAATTCTCAGTTGATAAGGCTTTTGCTCCTGTTGATGCCTTGGGTGAACTGTGGAATGGGGAAATGAACAGGGCTATTGACACGATCACTCCTAAGCGTCCTCTCCCACCTAACAGCCCGTTCCTCCCCTTGGTATACATCTGAACTACGGGTGATGAAGCAGGTCAGGAGATGTCTAGAGCGTAGGTGGAGGAAATCACGGGATGAATCTGACCGAACACACTTGAGAGCTCATTATCAAGCCTATGCTGTGGTGGTGAGGGTGGCGAAAAAGAAATTCTTCTCCACTTGCATTGCCTCCTCACAATGCAGTCCAGCAGAGCTCTTTTGGGTGGTACAAGGACTGGCACATCTGGGCCCTAAGAAAGACCCCATACCACCCTCAACGGCCCACTGTGACGACTTTGCCAAGCATTTTAAGGAGAGCATCGCTCAGATTTGTCCTGAGCTGGACTCCACTAGTGACACAGAACCTTCTGGGGAGGTGCCAATGTTGCCATCTGGTCCAAAATTAATGGATGAGTTTCACTTGTTGTGGCCTGATGATGTGGACAAGGTGCTTGGACAAGTACATCCCACCACCTGCCTATTGGACCCATGCCCATCTTGGCTACTTAACAAAGCCAAGTACGGGATAGGGCCTGGATCCTGGAGGTCATCAATGCCTCTCTAAGGGACTGCCTGGTACCTGCCCCTTTGAAAGAGGTGGTAGTCCGTCTAGTCCTAAAGAAGGCATCCCTGGATCCAGAGATGGCCTCCAGTTACAGACCAGTGGCCAACATCCCGTTCTTGGGCATGGTGTTAGAGCGGGTGGTGGTGGTACAACTCCAAGCACTCTTGGATGAAACTGATTATCTGGACCCATTTCAGTCCAGCTTCAGACCTGGGTATGGTACTGAATCTGCCTTGGTTGCCCTGTATGATGACCTGTGCAGAAATAAAACAGGGGGAGTGCATCCCTGTTGGTCCTCCTGGACCTCTCAGCAGCTTTCGATACCATCGACCATGGTATCCTTCTGGATAGGCTAGCGGCATTGGGAGTTGGAGGCACTGCTTTGAGGTGGTTCTGCTCCTATCTCAATGGCCGATTCCAGAAGGTGGTGCTTGGGGACTATTGGTCTGTGCCATAGCAGCTATGCCATAGAGTTCCGAAGGGGTCCATTTGTCCACCTTGCTATTCAACATCTACATGAAACAGCTACATGAAACAGAGTTCATTAGGAGGTGTGGGCTGTGGAATCATCAGTACGCTGATGATACCCAGCTCTGCCTCTCATTTTCAACCAATCCAGGTGAGGCAGTGGCTGTACTGCACTGGTGCCTGGTTGAGATAATGGGCTGGATGAGGGCCAATAAACTGAAGCTCAATCCAGACAAGATGGAGGTCCTGTTGGTACATGGTTCAGGCTGTGGGGTAGGGGACATGGACCTTGTCCTGAATGGGGTTGCTCTCCCTCTTAGGGACAGGGTTTGCAGCTTGGGAGTGCTCCTCGACCCAGAGCTGTTGCTAGAAGCTCAGGGGCAGCAATGGCAAAGAACACTTTCCTTCAGTTTTGGCTAATTCATCAGCTGTGTCCCTACCTGAAGAACGATGGCCTGGCGACAGTGACACATGCATTGGTAACTTCCTGATTAGAATTTTGTAATGTGCTCTACGTGGAGCTGCCCTTGAAGATGGTATGGATACTTCAATTGGTGCAAAATAGAGCTGCCAGGTTGCTGACAGGGACTGGACATTGTTCTCATATAACCCCAGTCCCTGTCAGGTTCACTGGCTCCCCATTGAAATCCAGGCCCAATTCAAGGTGCTGGTTATCACCTATAAAGCCTTTAACAGCTTGGGACCTGGTTATCTAAAGGAGCACTTGTGTCCATATATGCCCACCCACCCATTGAGATCAGTGGCAGAGGCCCTTCTACGGGAATCCTCTGTGAAAGATATTAGGAGGGTGAGTACCCATAGGAGGGCCTTCTCTGTGGTGTCACTCCACCTATGGAATGTACTCCCCAGAGAGGTCCTCCTGGCACTTTCATTGTTTTTCGGTGTCAGTCCAAGACCTTTTTATTTAAACGTTATTTTAATTGTTAATTGTATTTATTGATTTTATATTTGTGCCAAGATTTCTCTGGATTTTTAAGGTAATGTTATTATTATTTATTTGTTTTGTAAGCCTCCCCGAGGCTTTTTACGAATGGGGTGGCATAGAAATGTTCTAAATAAATAAATAAAGGTGTAATGTCCTGGCCTCCACTTCCAGGTCAGCATCTTCCTGCATAGCAAAAAAAACCAAACCAAAACAAAACAAAAAACCAGGTCAAGGGTTTGACCTTTTTCATGTGTAAGATAACTGACATGCTGAGAGAAATCCATTGTTTTCATGGTGACCATGAAGTCTTGAGCTGCCCCACATAAAGCAACCTCAGCATGGAAGTTGAAGGCCCCCAGTACCAACATCCTGGTGGTCCCCAACACCAGGTCCAAGATGATCTCTGTCAGCTCAGGCAGGGAGCCTTTTGGGTAGAAGGGTGCACAGTGCACCAAAAGAGTCCTTAATATGTCTTGGTCATCCAATGGAAGGTGCAGACACTTGAGATCTGTCTTTGAGTGGACTGGGAGCCTTGTGAGAGAGATTGCGACTCTATTGACTAGGGCCACACCCCCTTCCTGTCTCTTCCAGGTGAGGCTGGTGCTGTAACAGATACCCAGGTGGGCACAGCTCCTACTTCTCCCACTCAGGAGTACTACATGCCAGGTCACCTCCAGAACAAGAATTAAATCATGGATGGTGGTTATTATATTCTGGAATATACTGAAGGAGAAAGATTTTGGAAAATTCAGGTAAAACAAAGAAGAAAGGAAAAAGGTGAAAAAGCACGAATGCTCTCCTTCCAGCATGACATGGCAAGTAATGGGAAGGGAAAGTTCTGCATCATGGACCATTCCTCTTGCAAACAACTTGGCTGGCTCCAATGGTGCAACCTTTTGCCAGAAGCACAACTGCCTTTCCCTGCAGCTGAGGGTGGGTAACACAAAAATATCTTTCTGCTTCATGAAGTTGGGAGCTGTGCCAGTTAGAGAGTCCCTGAGTCTCTAGGGAACTATGGAGACCTCTCCAAAATGGGAAGGAACAAAATTAAGGGCACCCTTTGTGCTGCGCTACTAAAGAGAAGAGTCTGCCTGAAACAGAGGCACCACTGGGAAGAAAGTAGGAAGTGTGAGATCCAGCAGGTCACCCTGGCAAGGCTCATTCCAGAGCGTGCCCCTGACAAGAATCCAGCAATCCTGGTTCCTATGAAGGAGCAGCATTATTGAGGTCTTGCAATCATGTTTTTCTCCAGCTGTTTACATGCAAAATGTTCAGGAATTTGGAGAGGTGTTCAGACTTTCTCAATTTTTTAATTATGGAAATCTTAGTGTCTCATGGGAACTGATGCTCAAACTCCTGGGTCTTCTGCCCAGAAATACCACCTCAGAGTCCACTGATGCAAGGATGAGGTAACAAAGCAGGTTGAGGTGTGTCTTGCACCCAGGTACCAAAGAGGTCTTTCACTCAGAGCTATGGAAAAGCTTTCAGGCAAGGCAGGAGGTCTTTGCGCAGCTGACTCCTCTTTATTCCTTTCAGGTGAACCACTGGCTGTAGGCTCATCTCTGTCAGGAGAGCCAGAGAAAACATGTTCTTCCAAGGGGTATTGGGTTCCTCTTCCTCTTCCTTAGTGTTCCTATAATTATTTGAAAGAGGGAAGAGCAGCCAGAATGAGACTTCTTTTCCTTCTGCTGCTGCTCTCCACAGAAGCTTCTTGTGGGATGCAAGATGCCAAATGCCCCTGGAGCTGGGAACGGGGTGAATTACAGCCGTTGAATTACTACCGGCCAGGAGACTACATCTTCAGTGCCACCATCCCTATGGCAGATGGCCAATTTAGTCTACACACTTTCAATAAACCTGCCTCACATGGACAGAATTGGTAAGTTGTTGGCCTGGTTCATGCGATAGGACAAAGGACCATGGGCAGTTGGGCAGCACAGCTTGCCATGCACTTTCTTTCAAATGTCTTATTTTGCACAAACATGCCAGCCACAAAACTCCTGTTCAGAGATGCTCAGGAACTGGGTCCAATAGAAATGAGGGGCACCAGCCTGAAGAAGGTATTCCACCTTCCCAATGTCTCTACTATCCAGTCATTGATTTCTCCTTCATCATGAAATTATTACACATGCTGAACTCCAGCTCTGGACTGCACACCCAGGCTGCATGTGTTATATAATGCCTAATTAATACTGACTTGGGCAGAAAACATGCAGATCCCCCCTCAAAACTCTGAACCAGCAGTTCTGTAGGAATTTGCACTTGGCCTTCTTGCTTCAGGAAGAGACCACTGTGAGCAAATGGAAAGACTGAGAAACACAAAGCAGAGACAGATACAACATCAAAGGGCAACAGCGAAAGAAGCAATGAAGTCTCTGAATTTCAAGTGGAATGGGATGGCAGGGTGACCCATCCACTTATCTGTCTAAATGACCAATTATCTATCTATCTATCTATCTATCTATCTATCTATCTATCTATCTAAACAAATATTTATTTAAAAAAGCATATATATGTTGCCTATTCCACTGAACTGCTTTAGGAAGAAGCATTCCAAATATGGGGAGCAGCAGCAGAAGAAACCTTCTTTCAGTTAGCCACCCCTCTTATTTCCTTGAGGGATGGCTCCCACAAAAGGGCCCCCTGCATTGATCTCAGAGGCCAGCTAGGCACATGTGGGTGCAGACGGTCCTTTAGATAACCAGGTCCTAAGCCATTTATGGCTTATCTTTCTTTCAGGTTGAGAGACACATATTACTGGATTATCATCTCCTTCTTCTTTGCCATCCAGGAGATCAACTGGAATCCCAGGCTCTTGCCCAACATCTCCCTGGGCTACAACATCTATGGCAGCTTCAATGATGCTAGACTGACATCCGATGCAGCCATAGACCTGCTCTCAACAAGCCAGGCCCATGTTCCCAACTACAAGTGTGGCAGGCGAAATGATCTGCTGGCCGTTCTTGAAGAATCAGACTCCGACAACTCCATGCAGCTTTCCAACATGTTGGGCATCTACAAAATCCCACAGGTGCAGGTTTGGGGAAAAAATTCCAGGTGCAACATAAAGATCAGAACATTTTCCTAAGAATTGCCATGACCACTGCCACTCCCAGAACAAGAGACGATACTGATCAAGCCTGGGATGAAAAGGGTTAAAGGTACTCATTTGGTACTGTTAGGACCATGCTCTCTATGTAGAGCTAACAATTCTGCACTTTGGAGTCACTCAAGAAGAGCGGGGACAACTAACTTTCTTAGGTCATCCCTGAAAACCAATTATACCCAACTGAAAGATAAGTGGGATGAAACATTGAGAAAGTTCAGGGTACTCTCCACATCCATGTTTCCTTTTCCAGTAAATTATAAGGAAAGATGTTGCATGCTGGTAAATAAATGTTAAGTGGTTTAATCTGCAAATGCCAAAATGAAACAGTTTATTCATTTCTCCTCCTTTCCTTCACAGATCACATATACTTTCAGTTCCCAGGTTGTGAATGATAAAACCCAGTCCCCATTTTCCTATCGGATGGTCCCTAAGGAAGGGCTCCAGTACTCGGGGATTGTCAAACTGCTGCTGCATTTCCGGTGGATGATGGTTGGTCTCTTTTCACTGGACACTGAGAATGGAGACAAGTTCATGAGAACCTTGAAACCGGAGTTTCTCAGGAATGGCATTTGTGTGATTTTTTCACACAGCTTCCCAGAACTAAAATCAAGTACTCTTAGCCTCAGTTATGAGTCAGTGATGAAGTTGGTAGAAACCAATGTCTTTGTTTATTTTGTAGAGCTCCATGCCTCGTTGTATGGAATAGAGATTATAGAAGAAGCAACTGAACGTATGATGAAACCTGTTACAGGGAAAATCTGCATCACCACAACATTATCGGACTTTTCCCTTGACTTGATTAATGCGCATATGCATTTCCGGAATATCTATATGTACTTCTCCTTCATTCTACAAAAAACTCCAAGGCCAAATCTTGATGTTTTTGAATACTTTTATCTGGATATGCATCAATTTGTGAGAACAGCATTTGAATGTGCCTATCCAAAGAATATTCAGACAGTGAAAGTGTGGAGAAGATGCAGAGAGAAGGAGATATTGAGGGCCCTGCCAAAACTGGATGTGGAGAGAGCCCTGTCTCTGAACAGCTTCTTCACTTACAGCACCATCCAGGCTATGGCCCATGCCTTGGATGTGGCTTTTACCACCAAATTCAAGAGACTGCAGAAGGAAAGAGAACACAGGCTGAGCATGCAAGGGCTTCAGCCATGGCAGGTATTTGCATCTCCTTCTCAGAGATCCCAGTTGATCCTTCAGTGTTTTCAGTTCTGCAATTATTGCCCTGCAATAAAAACTTGAGAAATTTTGCATATCTATGGAGAAGTTTCCTCTGCTAGTCCCTCTTTTTATCCCTTCTCCTGACTGCTCAGGACGTAGACCCTATTGTCATGGCGCTTGGAATTCTTTCTAGCTAAAGTTCTTCTAGATCTTTCATTGATTCAGTTCAGACAGCATAATAGCCCAATCCAGGTGGTTCATGGGGGTTTGTGATGGAATCATGGCTTGCTGTTGAAATCCTTTTCCATAATGCGGAACACTGGCAGCCACATGAATCTGGAAGCATCCCCTAGCCAAATGGGGAAAACTAGGTTGTATAACGTGGCTTCTTCTTTCCTCAATGTTTGTGCTTTCTCTGCTCTTCCAGGTCCACCCTTTCCTGAGAGACCCCCAGTTCCACAATTGTTCTATTGAAGGGGTGTATTTGGATGAGAATGGAGACCTGGCAGCTGACTTGGACCTTGTGAACTGGGTGCGGTTTCCCAATGAGACAGTTATGAGAGTGAAAGTTGGGAGTCTAGAAGGACGCGGGTGGCCTGTCCCCAAGTTCACCATTCACCGAGATCCTGTTGCATGGCCCATATGGCAAGATCAGGTGAAGAAAACTATCCCCTTCATTACTTAGTATGCATTTCCCATTTCTTAAGTAACATGAGAAGGAACAGGCATATTTAACTGAGGCAATTAATAAAGCTGGGAGAAAGTGTAAAACAGCTTTTGCTGCACAAGAATAGGTGTAAGTATGGGATTTGCTGAAATCCTGGATGTCGTCTCCTATCCACCCTTTCCAGGCCTAACTTCCCAGTCCACAACTACATCAACCCCAACCGCTTTCTCTTACTGGTCCTTCTTTCTTTAAAAGTGATGCATTTTGTCCAGAATGTCCAGCTACTTCAGCTTCACCTATAGAATCTGCTCTAATCGTGGACCTCCTCTCCTGTCTGTGCATTCCAGCTCTGTCTCTTCAGTCCACAACCTCCTCAGCTCCAATCACCCTTCCCTGTTGCTCCTTCTCTCTTGCTCAGCCCCTGCCCCAGGCCAGGTGTGTGGAGAGCTGTCGCTCGGGATCCTTCAAGGTGGCTCGGGAAGGAGAGCCCGTTTGCTGCTATGACTGTGCTCCCTGTGCGGAAGGGACCATCTCCACTCAGGAAGGTGGGTGAGTGCAGTGGAAAATTCAGTGAGGAGGGAAAAGATTCGATCAAGTTACGAGGTTCATTTGCATATAATCCTGGATGGGTTGGTTGTTTCTGGAGCCTCACAGCAGAAAAGCATACTCAGTCATGGCAGTGTTGGATGGATCATCCCCTTTCTGCTGTTTTCTGTATCCTAGAGTCCCTCATTCCCTCATTGCATCAGTGCTGGCCACTTTTTCTCCATTCTGGGCTATGCTGGGAAGTGCCCCATTACCCAGCAACTTCCCCTCTTCCCTTCTTCTCTTGCCTGCCCCCCAGAAAAAAATGCTTCTCCTCCTGCAGGTGGTTTTTTTTATTGCACTATTCTACCCCCCCCCCCACATCACCCATCATGACACCCAGGGCTTCTCCTCAGGGATGGTGTAGGAGTGGGTTGCTCAGTCCAGAGGAGAATGTGAGCGATGGTGATCCTGCACTGCAGGGTGCATAATCAGGCATGTCAAGGAGGTTTGTGAAGGAGGACATGGGATGGGTTGCCCAGCTGCGCATGCTGGGCTTCAGCAGATCCTGGATTGGGAGGGAGGCTTCCATGCTTGCATATAGTCCATGATGGGTGGAGTATTCCCCAATGGTATCTGCTTTGCGGACAGGTATAAACTAGGCATGGAAAGCAGCACAAACAATGAGTCTTCCCCTATACCAAATATGGAGCACGTTGTTAAAACATGTATATAGTCACTTATTTATTTGGCCTATTTATATCCAGCCCTTTTTCCTTTCAAAGGACTCATAGCAGCTTACCTAATTTTCCATTCTTTGAGATGAGTTGGGCTGATGATATGTGCCTGGCTCAAAGTCACCCAGAGATCCATGGGGAGTGGGGACCAGAACCAGATCATCCAGTTCCCAATCTCACAGGCTTAAACACTACACCAGGTTTACTACAAGTCTCTCAAGCATTGCCTGTTGCAGTATTTTACCACCCTCTCTAGGGGAACTAAGCTGTGCAGGATGACCCTGGAGTGACTACTGTGTGCTGGACTGCACTTGCGTGTCTGGGCTCTCCATACCACAGCATCTCTTGCAGGATTGCAGTTTGCATGTAATTAGAAAGCAGAGTGCCTTGTTTGACCTGGGAGAGCTTGGTGCAAGAGGGGATCTCCTTCATCTTCTGGAATCATAGAACAGTTGAGTTGGAAGGGGCCAGGAAGGCCATTGCATCAAATCCCCTGTTGTTGCAGGACACCACCTTACACCACCCCACTGAGATCACTGTCAGTTTTGGTTTGAATCTTTCCATAGACTGAACTACCAAAATTCTATGGGGGCCACAATAATGGTACATGGTCCCTTCCATGGCCTCAGACATTAGCTGCTCCAGCACAAGACAGAACCATTCCAATCCTGACTGCAAAGGCCCCTGTGCAATCCACCCTGCTCCTTTGTTCCACTTGAACTTGGGGAATCTGGAGCAGTCATTCCTCAGATGACAGAGAGCTGCCTTACCAGGGCGAGCCCCACCTGCTTTGCTAAAAGACAGTGGAAACAGGGAAGGGAGTAGAGAAAGTTGAAAAAGGTGGAAGGGCGTGGTATACACATTCTAAGCTTTGCAAGGAAGGCTTTGGATTGAATTCAATTCCCATGAGGAGCAGTATTAGAAATTCTTTGCACCTCTTGAGCCATGAGTGGTAGACAAGATGCAGAACCAGAATAAAAAAGCTGGCCTGGGACTGAGTGACAAATGAAAGTATCTTTGCTTGAACAACCCCTTCAGGGAAGCCGCAGATTGCCAGAGACTGAACTGCCTTGGGGGAAGCAGTGACTCATGAGATACAACAATCATCATTGACAACCCACCAGTCATAGCGAGATATTGGGAGCCCAGTCATCTTCAACAGAGGCTTAACCTGGGGCACTCCTAGAAGGGGATCCATCCTGTGTAATTTATCTCACCCTGGAGCATGAACCCTCATGGTGGAGGATGCTGCCCCCGCCATGTTGCAGGACAGGCAGTGAGGTGGGCATGGATCAGCACCATGAGTCTGCATGGCCTTTCTGCACTTCACAGGTGGATGAGTCCTCCGTGCAGCATCCTGTCGGGTTCATGCCACTTCTCCTGGCAGGGCTCGGTTTCCTTTGGAAGGAGGTAGAGGAAGTTCCTTGGCATTTTACAGTGGTGGTGCTTATTCAGGCATGCGAAGAAGCTTGTATGAACACCCATCAAGGTCTGCTTTTAAAGCAGACCACATCGTGCCAAGTGGTGACAGATGGCTGTCATTATTACTTTTACTACAAATTCCATACCTCAACTATGCATGTGCTATGTAGCAAATTCTTAAGCTGTCCCTAGACTCTGATTATTCAGAGGTACCATATTTTCAAAAACTCACATTCCCTTTCCTCTTCATAGGCCAACCAAGAAGCATCACGTGCCTCTTCTGACAAAAAGCCATCAGCACTACCTTCTCAGTGGCCATCTCTTCCCTCCTAGCCAAAACGGTCACTGTGGTGCTCACCTTCCTGGCCACAAAGCCAGGCAACAGGGCAAAGAACTGGCTTGGGAAGGGTCTGGCTAACTCCATTGTTACCTCATGCTCCAGTGTGCAAATTGTTTTCTCCACTATCTGGCTGAGCACCTCTCCCCCATTCTGTGACTCAGACAAGCACTCCCAGGCAATTCAGATCATCCTGCATTGCAACAAAGGCTCTGAGGTCATGTTCTATGCTGCCCTCAGCTACATGGGCCAGGCTGCCATCTGCTTCACAGTGGCCTTCCTCGCCACTCCTCTCAGCAGTGAGACACAGAAGGGATGAAGATCCTGGCAGGGCTCAGTTTCCTTTGGAAGGAGGTAGAGGAAGTTCCTTGGCATTTTCTAGTGGTGGTGTGTATTCAGGCATGTGAGGAAGCATGTATGAACACCCATCAATGTCTGCTTTTAAAGCAGACCACATCATGCCAAGTGGTGACAGATGGCTGTCACTATTACTTTTACTACAAATTCCATACCTCAACTATGCATGTGCTATGTAGCAAATTCTTAAGCTGCCCTTAGACTCTGATATTTCAGAGGCACCATTTTTCAAAAACTCACATTCCCCATTTGTCCCATGCATTAAACAAGTATTATTTTAAATGAAAGAATATCCATTTTACACTTGAAAAGTTTATCTTAAATTAAATTTCAGGACTTATATGGCTCAGTACATCAGCTAGTGTTTGCTGCCACTCTGTCCCATCCAAAAACTTTTAGTACTTCAGAAACTCCTACTATCAGCTCAGTTTGAAATGTTTGCAGGCTACATTGGCCCAGTGCCCCCCCCCCCCCACAATGGGGAGCAAATCCACAAACAGATCCCTGGGACTTAATACTAGAGATGTCATCCACATACAAAATGAGGGTGGTGTGCCAAAAAAGACTTGGCCAATGCTGTGTGTCACTAGCTGGGTGCCCAGCTTTAATCCTGAATCAGGCATCCAGGATAAAAATGGGAATCTCCCAGAGAAAGCATGGGAACAGGATGTACAACAACCCAGAAAAGCCCTACTGAGCAGAGATGCCACATTCCCAGGTGACAATGAGGATCAGATGTGGATGTTGAAATGCGCAATGTGCTGAAGGTCAATTCAAGGCAAGGGTATTGAGAATGGAATACAAAGATCAGGGACTGTTCACACTATAAGGGAGATGTTTCCCTTTTCAGATGCAGAACGTTACATGAAGTGTCCTGAAGGAAAGCACCTGAACAGGTGCCAGGAAGTACTTTCTGATGGTTAGGACCCTGAGGTTATGGAATGGGCTTCCACAGGAGGTGGTTGAGGCCCCATTGGTGAGGGTGTTCAAGGATAGGCTGGACATGCACATGGTGGGCATGTAGTGAGCAGAGCTAGCTGGAGCCGGGGGTCAGACTAGATGGCCTGGGAGACCCCTTCTGACTTGCTCTGGTTCTGTGTTTCTATGTCATTGTCCACTTTCAAAGCAGACCATGTTGTTGGCTGTTACTATCACTATTACTAACAAATTCCATACAGTAAGACCATTGATTGCAAGCACAACTTGCTCTAGAAACATGCCTGTAATCGAAAGCACTTGTATATCAAAGCGAATTTCCCCATACGGTTCAGTGTAAATGAGATTAATCCATTCTGCAACTTTTTGTTTTTTAATCACAAAAATTTGAAGCAGGTGCACTTGGGGGGGGGGAGTGAGTGTGATCTTGGGCACACTGGGGGGGGGAGTCAGGCACGATCATGGGCGCGCTAGTGGAGGGTAGATGATGCTGTACTCACACCCCCAGCGAGAGAGAGAACCAGCACTCAGTTGTGACGTGACACTCATCAGGCAAAGCACGTGTAATACTTGAACTGCAAGACATTGCATGCTCATCAAGTTAACATTTAGAAAAACTTTTTCCTCATCTTGCAAAACACTTGCAGATGAAGTTACTTGCAATACAAGGTTTTACTGTACTTCCAAATTGCAGCTTCAGTTCATGCTTCATCAGCTCACAGGCTCTATTCACCCTTTGTTCCATGTATTAAGCAAACATAGATTTACATTAAATAGTATGTATTGTACACTTGAAATGTTGCCTCTTAAATTATATATAACCATGTATATGGCTCATTACCAAAGCTGGACTTTGGTCCTATTCTGCTTCGCCTGCCCACCTACAGAATTTCAGAAGTTCCTACTGCCAGATCAGGTTGGAATCCTTCCCTGCTAAATCTGCAGAGCGGCCCCATCCACATTCAGGTACCTGGGAGATGATCCCACAGATGTGATCCCCATTCAAAATGAGTGTGTGTTTCTGCAATGACTTGCTCAGTGCCACGGACCACTGGCTGGGTTACCTGCTTGAATCCCCAGTAAAACAGCCAGGAAAACGTGGGGAATCTCCTAGAAGAAAAAAGTACAACAACATCCTGCAGAAAAAAAAAAAAACCAGAAAAGACCTAGTGGATGGAGATTCCCCATTCCCAGGTTAGAGTATCATGGATGATGAAAAGTACTATGTGAAGACAATCAATTAGAGATAATGAGGGCGGAATAGAAAGAACAGGGACTACTCAAGATAAAAGGGAGATGTTCCTCTTTGCAGATGCAGAACATTGCATGAAGTGTCCAGAAGACCAATATCCAAACAAGGCCCGTGATCAGTGCATCCTCAAAGTCATCACCTTCCTGTCCTATGAAGAACCTTTGGGGACCTTCCTCACTTGCTTGGCCCTACTTTTCACCATCACCACAGGATTTATATTAGGAATCTTCAGGAAATTCCAAGAAACCCCTGTAGTCAAGGCCAACAACCGAGACCTTTCCTACATCCTTCTTGTATCCCTGCTGCTTTGCTTTCCATGCTCGTTTCTCTTCATTGGTCAGCCAAGATGCATCACCTGCATTTTCCGTCAAATGGCCTTCAGCATCATCTTCTCAGTGGCCATCTCTTCCCTCCTGGCAAAAACTGTCACTGTGGTACTGGCCTTCCTGGCCACTATGCCAGGAAACAGGGCAAGGAACTGGTTGGGGAAGAGCTTGGCCATCTCTATTGTCATCTCTTCTTCCAGTATCCAACTTATCATCTGCACCATCTGGCTGGGAATTTCTCCCCCATTCCCTGACTCTGACATGCACTCACAGACTGGCCAGATCATTCTGCAGTGCAACGAAGGCTCTGTGGCCATGTTCTATGCTGCCCTGGGCTACATGGGCTTCCTGGCTGCCGTCTGCTTCACAGTGGCCTTCCTGGCCAGAAAGCTGCCTGGGGCCTTCAACGAGGCCAGGCTGATCACCTTCAGCATGCTGGTCTTCTGCAGCGTCTGGGTGTCCTTCGTGCCCACCTACCTGAGCACAAGGGGCAAGTACATGGTGACCGTGCAGGTCTTCTCCATCTTGGCCTCCAGCGCTGGGCTGCTGGGCTGCATCTTCCTGCCCAAGTGCTGCATTATTCTAGTGAGGCCTGACCTGAATACCAAGGAGCATCTCATGGTGAAGACCAAGGGCTGAGTTCACATTGTGCTGTACCAACACAGAAATATTCTTTTCTTACTCATTAGTTTGTTCATAATCAATAAATTCTATCTCTTGCAGAATTTCTCCCATTGTAATTTTACTGGCTTAGAAATAAGTGCTTGTTTTTATTTGTTTATTTATTTGTTTATGTCTTCTCCATCTTGGCCTTCAGCAGTGGGCTGCTGGGCTGCATCTTCTTCTCCAAGTGCTACATTATTCTAGTGAGGTCTGACCTGATTACCCAGTAGCATCTTATGATGAAGAACAAAGCATAAATGGCATTTCCATTGTTCATCTTTCTATTGCTCAAGATTCTGATACTTCTGGACCACCCAGAGATCCATTTTGCATATATGGATCGAGCAGAAATGTAACAAATAAAGAAATAAAACATTTGCAGTTTTCAGTACCTGGAAAAAAGAGGCTCCATTTCAAACAGGTGGGAACAGTAGGAAGATCTCTTCCCACTTTACTATCATTAGCTAAGTTCTGTGTTTTGCGTTTTCTTGGTTCTACTAATAATTTCTGTTTTCATTCCTTTGACATTTTCACATTATATTCTGAAGAGTCACTAGAGAAATCCTTCTGGACAGGAAGTTGACATGGTGGACAGAACTGTCCCTTGTTATTTCTTGATACATTCTTTACTCCATGGATAATTTTGCAATGACCTTTTTAGTTTATTAATATTTTAAAGAGTTAATTGGTTTTATCCCTGTTGTTTATCATCATTTATTGGAGGCAGTGTGTTGTCTGTTGTTTGTTGAATATGGTTGCTTTACTTTATGGTTTTTTGTTTTTCATAAGCCGCCCAGAGACTTTTAATATTCGGGCGGCATATAAAAACTATAAAAAGATAAATAAAAAATGGTGAGCTTAAATCTCCCTTCTCAAATCTACTCATACTTGAATTCAGGGTACAAATCCTTTGCGATTCTAAATTAATTGTACTTCCCTTTATAATTTTGTTGTAAAGATGAACAGCCACTTTGTTAATTCAGAACTCTCCCCACCCCTCTTTGTGGTCACATGTTCAGATGAAGAAAATTGTCCCTTCACTCTCATTTGGAAATTTACCAGTCTGCCCACCCAAAAAATGTGGCACATGGAGGTCAGTGTGGGAGGGCTGCAGTACCCCCAATTGTAACCCCTCTCTTGCTTGCAAGCAAACACCTTCAAAGGACAGCCCTACAGATAGCAGCAGCTATGCCAGAGCCCTCCACCTGCCCAAAGGGGTCTTTCGCTTGAGAAGAAATGAGTAGGCATCTCCCTCCAGGCTTGGAACCTTTTTGAAGAGCTAAATGTATTTTCTGCAAATTTGTGCATTGCCCTTGCTGTGTGTTGTCAGTGCAGCAGTGTTTCTTCTATGCATGACTTGTGAAGGTTTTCCCTGCAAATCCTTCTTTTACAACCTTGGCCCCTCATTCTGATCAATTTAGGAATAACATCAGCAACAACAGAAGTTACTTCTAGCCTCAGAAGAAAGAGTGAATATGGTGAGAAGCTGCCCCTGGCATGCTGGAAGTTGAGCATGAGTCACTGTGCAACTCTGCCGCTCTCTCTTACTTGCGAAGATTCCATTAAAAGGAAGAAAGAAACAAAGGCAACCTAGAACATGACCATCACGCCTTCAGAGGATGAATGAAAATAAAAATTCTTAAATATTCCTCAGCTCCAATATGATGTGACTTCCAGAGGAATTATGTGCAAGAAAGTTCAGGTGTGGCACAGATTGGCCAGGTGGCCTGGTTCCATCAGCAAAGGGTGACTATTGCTGCTTCCGTTGCTCAGAGACTTTGGCTCAGCTATGAAGGCATTTTCGTTTTGCTAAGGGATGTTGGAAATGGTTAATCCATGTCCTGAAAGCAATTCCCACATTCAATGAGATACAATCCCAGCAACAATCTTCTTCCACTGACAGGTCAAGGACTGGATGTGTGGAGGGATATGGCTGCTGGGCACAATCTGAGAATAGCCACAAGAATTCCCTCAGCACAGGACGGTACACTGGAAAAAGTCATGTGGAAGTTCATGTAAAGAAGGTCTACCAGATTGGCCTTCCTCATATGTTTGTAGACAGCATCAAAGAAGTCTAACACATTAGAGAGCTTTCCTTTTGCAGAAGACCTGTTGAATCTTTTTCAGCATTGCTAGCTCTTCAATGTACTTTTGATTGGCTATTCAAGAATGCTTTCAAGTGATTTGCTCGGAACTTAATTTTAACTGACTGATCTGCTCTTCCCTCCTTTGCACTCCTTCCCCTTTTGAAAATGTGTGATACATTGGCCATTGGCCAGTCCTCCAGGGGAGTATGGAGATGCTTCCTTAAATCTCCCTCAAAGCCAGGAGTAGCAGCCTTAGATCTTTCACTGTTGAAAATTTGGCTGGGACTCTCTCTTTCCTCAATTGAAGATAATAGGGTTGTAGAATCAATTCTCTTTTTGGTGCACAGAGCTTGTGATAGTCTTAAGGCCTTGGAAATTTCTCTTTCAAAAGATCTTCAGGCATGTTTTTCTAGCCCTTTTTTCTGATTATTCACTGAGTAAGCAGCCCCCGCAACCCTGAAAACAGCATGTAGCTCTAAAAGAGAAAGATACCACCGAAAGGGAACCCAATTAACTATTTTCCCATTTCAAAATCAAGACATGCCAAACTCTACAAGCCCTTCTGAGTAGAGATTCCCCATTCCCATGTTAGACGGAGGGTCAGAGGTGGATGCTCAAATTGATGGTCCAGTTGGGGAAAGGGAAAAGGGAATGGAATAGAAAGAACAGGGACTGCTCAGGCTATAAGGGCCGTGTTTCTCTGTTTCTCTTTTCAGATGCAGATCATTGCATGAAGTGTCCAGAAGAACAGCATCTAAACACGGCCCGGGATCACTGCATCCCCAGGGTCATCACCTTCCTGTCCTATGCAGAATATCTGGGGATGTTCCTCAGTTGCTTGGCTCTCCTTTTATCCATAGCCACAGGAACCATACTGGGAATCTTCAGGAAATTCCAGGAAACCCCAGTAGTCATGGCCAACAACTGGGACCTCTCCTACATACTCCTTATCTCCCTCTTGTTTTGCTCAACCAGCCCTTTCCTTTTCATTGGCCAGTCAAGAAATGTCACCTGCCTCCTCCGACAAACGGCCTTCAGCATCATCTTCTCAGTGGCCATCTCTTCCCTCCTGGCCAAAACAATCACAGTGGTGCTGGCCTTCCTGGCCACCAAGCCAGGAAACAGGGCAAATAACTGTTTAGGGACAGGTCTTGCTTATTCCATTGTCATCTCCTGCTCAAGTGTCCAAGTCGTTCTCTCCACCATCTGGCTGGGGACATCTCCCCGCTTTCCTGACTCTGACATGCATTCCCAGCCTGGGCAGATCATCCTGCAGTGCAATGAAGGCTCTGTGATCATGTTCTCTGCTGGTCTGCTGGGCTGCATCTTCCTCCTAAGTGCTACATCATTCTAGTGAGGCCTGATCTGAATACCAAGGAGCATCTCATGATGAAAAACAAAGAGTAAATTGTAGTCTTTTTCATCAACAGCTCCAAATTCTACATTTCTGAACAGCTGAGAGACCCATTTTTGGTATTTGGGCAGTATTGATATTCAACAAATATACAATTAAATATTTGTTTTTGCAATTTTCAGTTCCTGGTTAAAAAGAGGATCCTTATCAAACATGGGGAAGCTTCAGGCAAGCTTCCCTCTTTAATTTTTTTAGCTAAAATTTGACAAGAAGTTGAGGGGGAAACTGGAGTGCATTTTCTCATTTGTTAAAGTTTTTTCTACCCCAGGGAAATGTTGCCATGAGCAATGCTAGGAGCTCAAATTTCCTTCCAAAATCTACCCGGGCTTGAATTCTGGGCTAAGCACCCTTCCTAATGTTTAATTATTTGTACTCCTTTTTAAAATTTTGTTGTGAGGAGGAAGAGCCACAAGGTTAATCAACACTTTTTTTTTGGTCACATTCTTAAATGCTTGGCACATGGAACCCCCTATTTCAGAACCTCCCTTGCTTGCAAGTGAACTCCTTCAAAGTAGTGCAAAACCCTACAGGAAGCACCTTCACTGCCAGAGCCACCACCTCCCAAAGGGTCCTTCTTCTCTTTTTGTCTAGTGCAGTCAGCTTAGCCTGCCTTTCTCCTTCCTTGCCTTGAGAGTCACCACAATTTCAGCAGAGCAGCACATGAAGAAAGGAGAACTTTCTCTTCCACAGAGCGGACCATGGAAGGGAAACTGCATAAATGTCTAGGAAACTGTGGGAAAGAGATGAAGAAAGAACAGATGACAAGGTTACACTTTCCTAGAAAAAGAACAGTTTATCCCCAGTGTATGGACAAAGAAGCTCTCCCCAAATGCAGAAGAGAAGCTGGGCAAGGCAGGAAGGCTGGAAAGGAAAGAGGGAGTCCCATGGCCAACACTGGCTCCCTGTTTGCCTTTCATTCAGAAATGCTGGAGAACTTTTAATCCCACCACCAAATGTGGTGGGAGAAGCCTTTCCTTGCTGAGTGAGTTGCAGTGAATGGTGAAGCTGAATTATTCTGGAACATGGCCATGGACCAGTGGGCAGGTACAGCTGGAGAAATGAATGAGTAGCCATGTCCCTCCTCCAGGTTTGGAAAGGCATCCCTCAAAGGGAGCCTGCACAGGTTCCCAGCACTTGCTTTTCCTTTCCGTGTTCTGCAATACAAAATCAAGGGAACTTTTTGGACAACCTAAATGCATTTTGTTTGTATTTGTCCATTGCCTTGGCTGTGCTCTAAGCGTCAGTCTAGCAGGATGACTTCTGTGCATGATTTATACATACAAATCCATCTTTTACAAACTCTTCCTGCCTCATCAGCAACAACAGCAAAAGTAACAACAGGTGATTTCTAGCAGTAGGAGCAAAGGCAGCTGTAGTTAGAAGCTGCCCCGACATGCTTCAACCGGGCAATGCTCAGGCTGTCAGGGTGCATCTATTTGGTCCCTCGACTGATGTTTCCTCTTTCTTGCTACATTTCTGGTAGAAAGGACTGAAACAAAGAAAGGCAACCATGGAAGTTGAACATAACATCTTGTGAGGAATGATGAAAATAACCATTCTTGAATATTCCAAATAATGCTGATGATGTGACTTCCAGAGGAATTCTATGGAATAAAGTTCAGGTGGGATTACAGATGGGCCAGGTGGCCCTTTTCTGTCAGGAACAGGTGTCTGTCTTCTGACAACCCTACAAATGAAGGTCCTCCAAAATGTAGTGTTCTTGACAGCCCTATTTGGTCTACATCCTCATCTTCCACTTTTGACTTTCCTTCAACATGAGACAAGGGAAGAATGTGCTGCAGCCAAATTAGTACAAGAAGCTGGATGGTGTTCCTCAATAAGCGGACAATGCTCCTGCCAGAAGTCCTGGCCACATGTCTTCTATGAGAATGTGGTTGCTATATAAGAAAAGGTGTGCATGATTTCCCTGGAAGGCACCATGGATGTCTGTTGCCACTGCTCCATTCACCAGAGCTCAGAGCACAATGAACTTCGGGGAGGACTCCACAGGTGGTAGGACTGAAATAGTTTGGTGGTGGGCTTGGTTCTCCTAATGATCCTTCCCCATTTGGTTGTATTAAAAATACTTGTAAACTTCAGTTCCTAAGGGGCAATCCGATGCACGTTTAGATAAAAAGAAAGTGAACAGCTTGGAGCATGCCAAGGTAGTGTTACTGTCTGGAGCATCCTGGGCATTCTTGGCCCTTTCATCCCAACATGCATTCCTGTAGGGTTGCACACTGGATCAGGTCTGCCACAAGTCAGAGTTCTTTCTTGGGAAGGTTCTGTCTCTCTACCACACCCCTTTCCATTAGGAATCCCATGGACCCCTTTGGGAGCTGCTTCACCAGCACCACCACCACTGTTCCTCTCCTGCATTCTCCATAGCTGTCTGAAGGGGAAGGGGAAGCAAGGCTAGAAGCAAATCCGGAAAGAGGAAGGATACCTTTGGCTCCAGAGCCCAGGAAGATGCTCAGAGTGAGGGGAAATGTCTTGCTGGCAGCACAGATGGTGGAAAGGCAAGTCCACTTGGATCACTGGGAGCAGTGAAACCACTGTAGGAATGAGCCCAGCAGCCACACTTTGTGGGCATCCCAGAAATAAAAGAAGACCTTATACTCTGTATTTATAGAAAGGCAGTCAGGAGTTTTGGAGGCTATGGGCAAGAGCAAGTTGTGAGCTTCCTTGGGGAAGTTGCGGGCTCGCCCTCAGTGGAGACATTCCAAAAGCATCTGCACAGCCATCTGAATGGGATGGTGTGATTGAGCGTCCTGCAATAGCTGAAGGTTGGACCCCATGGACTTGCAGCTCATTCCAACTCTACCATTCCTTGATTCTATGAAGGGAAAGGTCAAGCTGACAACAGTCAAATACACTAAGCATGCTTCTCCAAAAAGACTCACTAAAATGAATGAATGAACGAATGAATGAATGAACGAACGAACGAACTTGAAGGGGGCTTGGGGGAACCAGCACTGAAACCTTGTGGGGATGCTCACAGCCCTCACCCCCAAACTTTGGCATCCAGGCAAAAGGAAAGCAGTTCTAGGGAGAAGAGGTGAGGGGGAAGATCAAACACAAGGGGCTTCTGGGCGGCACAATCACTGCATGCCCAGGAAATATCCGGACAATTAACTAAGAGGTGAGGGGAAAAGAAGGGTTGCACATTTCATTCCTTGCACAACAGGATGGCTGGATTGCGCAGGGGTTTGGAAGTGACAGTTTCTCCAGTCTGGATTGTCCCCATAGGCCCACCTGGGAAGCCTTTCTAGGGCACTAAACTGAGCAATGCAGGGAGGCCCTGCAGAGTTGTGACTTGGCCACCAATACACTGGCCAGAATTCAGAGGTTGTCAGGAAATCTGGAAGAATCCCTTCATTCAGTGACCACCCACTGTCTGATCTGAGGATTTATTTGGTCTTTCTCAACAACGCGTGCCTTTTATCTCATGGCTGCTACATGTGCCCAGAAGACTTTGGTGGGTGACTCATTCAAAAGTCAGGCTGTATTTCATGTAAACAATGTCTATCGGATTTCCCCCATCATGTATTTGTGGACACTGCCAAAGAGGTCTAAGAGGTTAGAGAGATTTCCTTTTGCAGAAGCTCTAATGATTTTATTTTCAGCATTGCTAGTCCTTCTGTGTGCTTGCTGATTGGCTCTTTAAGAATGCTTTCAGGCAATTTTCCAGAACAGATGTTAAACTGATGGGCCTGGCATTCCTCAGATTTCCTCTTCTAAACATATTACAGCTTGGTGCTCCATAGGCCATCCCCCAGTCCTCAAGTGGAGAGGAACCAAAGGGAGCCTTCTTTAAAACATCTCAGTCCCAGGACTAGCAGCCCTCAGGTGTTCACCTTCAGTTGCTCACTCGTGTGTGAGGACTCTGTTTTAACACTTGGCTCAGACTCTCTCATCCCTCAATTGTAGTCCTTAAAATCTGTTCTTTTTCAATACACACACTTGCTGATGGTCCCTGAGACTTTGGGAATATCTCTTAAAAAGGCACTGGCTCATGATTTTCCACCATTTCAGTTCTTGTTTATTCACTGTGTAAGCTGCCCCCCACCCCAAAAACTTCATGAAATTGTAAAAGACAAGTACCACAGAAAGTGAACTCTATTAAATGTCTTCCCATAAAAAACAAAACTGGTTTTTCAATGCATTCATTCATTTAAGGTGGCTATATTTCTTCTCTTTGGCACACATTTCATTTTCTTCTATTGTAAGTGATGTGCCCCATTTCTTCCTAAAAGCTTTATTCTTCTCTCTCTCCCTCCCTCCATCCCTTTTTCTTTTCCACACCTGCCTTTACATTAATGCAGTTTCCCCCTCCATTGAGTTCTCTTTGGGGGTGCAAAATCCCTCCATCCACGGGCTGCTCTGCTTTTTTCCATTCTAAATGACGTATCACAAATTTCCTTAGAAATTAGATTCCCTCCCTCCCTCTCTTCCTTTTTCCTTTTCCTTTTCCACAACTGCCTTTCCATCTATGCTGTTTCTCATTCCATTAACAGCTCAGTGGGATATGCAAAATTCCTCTTTCAGGTACCTGCCCTGCTCAGGATGAGGCAGCTTGCTCAACAGGGCAGGAGCAAAAGGGAGGCTGGGGGAGATGGATGCAGGAAGAACTGGAAGCCAGAGACTGCTTTGTCCTCCTTTGGCATCTGAGTGCCATGTTTCCAGAGTGTGGTTGAGTGTGGTTAAGATAAACATCTTAGGATGCGTGGATGGACGATTTCTTAATTTTGTTCATGACTCTTAAAGAAAATGTTCTCAATGCTCCTTGTGCTGTCCCTTTTCACAACAAAATTATGAAGGTAGCACAATTGATTGGACACTGGGTAGAATTGTGCCTGAATTTGGACCTGAATTCAGGTCCAAAAAGATTTGGGAAGGGAAATTTAACCCCCCACATTGCTCATAACAAAATTTCTCCTGGCGCAGAAGAAACTGTTTAAAAGTTTGAGAAGCAAATCAAATATGTCTGGTGACACTTCAAAACATTGCATGGAGATATCGAACACTGAAATCAGAAACTGTTAGTAGAAACAAGAAAATATAAAACACAAAGATCTCTAATGAGATTACAGTGAAAATATATCTCACTTGCTGCTTCCCCATGGTTGAAAGGGATGCTCTTTTGTTTGTCCTGAAAACTGCAAAATAATTTTATTTATTTATGTATTTATTTACTTAATTGTATATTGCCCATGTACACAAAATGGATTTGTGAGGATTTCACCATTGTCAGAATCCTTGAACTTCTGACAAACAATAGCAATGCAAATTATGTTTTGTTTTTCGACATAAGATACTCCTTGGTGTTCAGGTGAGGCCTCACTAAAATAATGTAGCACTTGGGGAGGAAGATGCAGCCCAGAAGCCCAGCACTGGAGGTCAAGATGGAGAAGACCTGCACAGCCACCATGTACTTGCCCCTGGTGCTCAGGTAGGTGGGCACGAAGGACACCCAGACACTGCAGAAGACTAGCATGCTGAAGGTGATCAGCCTGGCTTCATTGAAGGCCCCAGGCAGCTTCCTGGCCAGGAAGGCCACCGTGAAGCAGATGGCAGCAAGCAAGCCCATGTAGCCGAGGGCAGCATAGAACATGGCCACAGAGCCTTCATTACACTGCAGGATGATGTGTCCAGCCTGGGAGTGCTTGTCAGAGTCAGAAAAGGGAGGCGATGTCCCCAGCCAGATGGTGGAGAGGACAACTTGAACACTGGAACACAAAATGACAATGGAGTTGGCCAAACTCCTCCCCAACCAGTTCCTTGCCCAGTTCCCTGGCTTGGTGGCAAGGAAGGCCAGCACCACGGTGATGGTTTTGGCCAGGAGGGAGGAGATGGCTACTGTAAAGATGATGCTGAAGGCTGTTTGTCGGAGGAGGCAGGTGATGCTTCTTGGCTGACCAATGAAGAGGAAAGAGGATGAAAAGCAAAGCAAGAGGGAGACAAGAAGGATGTAGGAGAGGTCTCGGTTGTTGGCCTTGACTACTGGTGTTTCTTGAAATTTTCTGAAGATTCCCAGAATGCTTACTGTGGTTATCGAGAAAAGTAAGGCCAAGAAAGTAAGGAAGGTCCCCAAATATTCTTCATAGGAGAGGAAGGTGACGGCCTTGGTGATGCACTGATCCCTGGCCTGGGTTGGATGCTGGTCTTCTGGACACTTCAGGCAAAGTTCAGCATCTGTTGGAAGTGAAAGGAACAGCACCCTGACATCTGTAGCAGTCCCTGCTTTGTACAATTCATTATTTTTGTTATTATGCATTAATTCCTACTTCAGTACTCGTAATTATTGTTCTTGTTATTATTCATTAATTGACTAATTCAGTGCAATTCAGTATTTTGTTTGTTTGTTTGTTTGTTTGGGAATCTTGTATGCCGCCCCATTTGCATGAGCCTCGGGTCGACTTCCAGCAAATAAATAACAATACAAATGCATAAAAACTGGAAACATCCAGGCAATAGGTTAAAATCAATCAGTAAATTAACAATCAATTAAAATAACATTTAAATGAAAAGGTCTTGGCCTGGCGCCGGAAAACAAATAACGATGGCGCCAGGTGACCTCTCTGGGGAGTGCATTCCATAAGTGGGGCGCCACCGCAGAGAAGACCCTCCTCCGGTACTCACCCTCCTAATATCTTCCTGGAGAAGGGCCTCTGCCGCCGATCTTAGGGAGTGGGAGGGCAAGTATGGATGCAGGTGCTCCTTTAGATAACCAAGTTCCAAGCCGTTTAGTGCTTTATAGGTAATGACCAGCACCTTGAATTGGGCCTGGACTTCGATGGGGAGCCAGTGAAGCTGATGAAGGACTGAGGTTATGTGAGAACAATGCCCAGTCCCTGTCAGCAACCTGGCAACTCTGTTTTGCACCATCTGAAGTATCCAGATCATCTTCAAGGGCAGCCCCACATAGAGCGTGTTACAGAAGTCTAATTGGGAAGTAACAAATGCATGCATCACTGTCGCTAGGCAGTTGTCTTCCTGGTAGGGATGCAACTGATGGATTAGCCGAAGCTGATGGAAAGCGCTCCTCGCTACTGCCGACACTTGAGCTTCCAAAGTCAGCTCTGGGTCGAGGAGCACTCCCAAGCTGGACAATGTCCAGGTCCTCCACCCCAAGCCCGAACTGCCTACCAATAGGACCTCCATCTTGTCTGGACTGAGCTTCAGTATTGTTATTATTATTACTATTACAATCATTGGTAGCAGTAGTAATGGCATCATTGTGGTGTGATTGGCAACAGATTTTGCTTTCCTTCAGGTCATGAACTTGCTGGGCCACTTCCTTCTTCAAAGTCAAGAAATTTCCTCACATAAATTATGTTAGCCAGCAACATGGAAGCACTTTTCAAAGTGGACTAGCATGTGTCGTGGTATATTCCTTTTAGCCATCATGTGAAAGCTCAAACTTTAGAAAATGTATAACCCTGGCCGGCAGTGCATCCCTCACTCCTCCCAATGCAGTAGGGTGACCATATGTGGATGAAGCACTGAGGACTGTTTTATGCCTGGAAGTGCAGGGAGGCCATGCAGTCTGATGGGGCCGATCCATGGCCATTTGTTGCCTCACCAAGAAACCCACGTGGAAGGTGACATTCTCCAGCATTCATCTTTAGACTCCCTTGTGAAATGGTTTAGCAATGACCACACTAAAGCCGCTATAAAATATGACCAGGTTTGCACCATTCCTTAATGACTTGGGAGTTTTCCATTTCAGTTTTCACAGTATGTAAACCCCTAGTCACTGCTTCTCCTAAGGTGATTCAGTCCAGGGAATCAAGTCACCTGCCAATCTTTGGCTTTCCATGAGGTGGTAGTTTAAGCCGTGTTCATTTGGTGTGTCAGACACAGAACCTGTTTTTTCCCCTCATGGGTCCAGGATATTGTGTATGAATCAAGGGACAAGAATTACCAAGAATCTCTGCTGCACCCCTCCACAGGAGTAAAATTCCCACCAAAGTCTACCGATCAAAACTTGAGATCTGTCTGCCACCACCTTTCTCCAATCCTGGCTCAATCCTCTTTCTTCCACAGAGAGTTTCATTCCACTGTCTTCAGCTGCACTCCATAAACCATCCTTCCACCTTCCAAGCCCATCCCCTTAGAAACAGTTGTTCTGCAAGGCAGAAAGCTAGTAAGCCCCATGTTCCCTGCCGGTGACTCATTTTTCCATGTGGCCCAGATCCCATCCATGAATCAATTTCTATGAATATTCCTTGGGGGAGCTGCACAGGGAGCTGTCCGTTGCTGTGAAAGAGGAGTGGAAGGACTGCAGGGTAGGTTTGGCATCAGGTGTTAACACACCTGGAGTGGACAGAAGGCCAAGGAGGACATGGCTTTGAGTGAACCACACCCCAAACATGATTTTCTGCTCTAATACTGCAGAAACAACAATCCCATCCTAAATTCTTGCAGAATGGTTTTGCACCCTCAAATGCAACCCATACCTTGGATGGATATTTCCCTCCCAGTAACACTGCCTTTTCCTCCATTCTCACCCACCTTCCTCTGTGGAGATGGTTCCTTCTGGGCAGGGAAGGCAGTCATAGCAGCAAACAGGTTCCCCTTCCCGAGCAACCTTGAAGGATCCTGGGCGGCAGCTCTCCACACACCTGGACAGGGGCATTGGCTGAGCAAGAGAGAAGTATCAAGGGAGATGAATTGGGGCTGATGAAAGTGTGGATTGGGGAGACAGAGCTGGAAAGGAAGGAGAGAAGAGGACCTCCATAATTTCAGTGGATTCTGCAACAAAAGCCCACCTTGTGACCCTGTGAGGCTGGAGCAGCTCAGCATTCCCTGCAAATTAGGTGCATCACCTATATTCAATACACCATCTTCATGTCAGAATAGCCAGAATGTTATGGGATGGGGAATTAAAACAATGAAATGAAGTGGATGGTTTTCTTCACCTGATCTTGCCATGTGGGCCACACAACAGGACCTTGCTGAATAGTGAACTTGAGGCCAGGCAACCCTCGTCTTTCTAGACTCCCAACTTTCACTCTTACAATAGACTTGTTGAGAAACTTTATCCAATTCACAAGGTCCAAGTTGGCTGCCAGGTCTCCGTTCTCATCTAAATACATCCCATCAGTAGATTGATTGTGAAACTGGGGGTCTCTCAGGAAAGGGTGGAGCTGGAACAACACAGAAAGCACAAGCATTTGACAGGACACATTTTATACTCCAATTTTTGCTAAGAACTGGTTCCACTTTAATGTGGCTTGGTATAATGATTGTCATGGACACATTTCTGATTTCATTCCTGGAAGTCCATGGTCTGATTTGCAATTTGCTTTGCTGAAATCCACATCCATGAGATCCCAGGCATTTCCACAGTCCACCGAAATTACCTAATCTAAAGTGAAATCTGATTCAACTGGCAGGTTTTCTTCCTGACATTTCCATTTTGGTTTCTTGGCATCACTGCATTGTTTTCAAGATGTCTGAAGATCAACAGCATTATAATCTGCTCCAGATTTTCCCAAAAACTGAACTTAGATTGACTGGTCTGTAGTTCCAAGAGGACTATTTCTTTCCCTTCTTCAAGATGAAGTCAAAATTAGGACTTCTGCAGCCATCTGGCACTTCTACCATCCTCCAGGATTACTCAAATAAAGTAAGAACATTGTTCCAAGACTTCTTCTGCCAGCTCCTTTCTTACTTTTAAATGAAGTTAAATGAATCAGGGTCTAGAGACTGACTCTTTCATTATGAGTAGAAGATCTTTGACCCGTAGCCTTTCCGGCTTGAGCCCCCATCATGTTCCTTCTGCTTGCCCCTCCCTTCCTCAGGGAGTTCCTTATTCCTGTTTTGGGAGAGGACAGAGTCAAAGAAAGAACTGGACCTTTGGACTTCCTTTGTCCTCTGTCATCAGTTTGCCATCAGCAGGGAATTCCTGAACCACTGGACATACCTGGAGAAGGCTTTTTGAGGCGTTTAGCATCCCACATTAGCTTCCATGCATTCTCCACTTTAGCCTTCCTGATCCCATCCCTGCAATTCTCAACTGCCCGCCCATATTCTTCTTTTGTAGCCTGCCCTTCTTTCCTCTTCCTTTATAAGTCGATTTCCCCGAGTTTCTCAAAACCAGCTTTCCAAAAACCAGGGTTTGACGTTCCTTCTGGAAGAAGTCTTGTATGGTGTAGTCACCTTACCCCAGGTTTCCTGTAGTTGCTGCTTTGTCCACTAGAGCTTCCCTATTGTTTACATATTGTCTGCGATTCTGATTCTTGGGGAGCTGAAAGAAGTCACATGGTTTCTTTGCTTTCTTCTAGTTCCTTCGCTCCTGACTATCCCCCTTTTCCAAGAAGTTCCCTCCTCATTTCCCCTTTTCTCAGGACTCTTTTCTTTGGCCACAGCCCCCTGTTGCTCTTCTGCCCTGTATTACACTTAGCTGTTGCAGCTCCACTGCTCTGCCTTCAAACTTGGTCTTCAAGATGTGACATTATGCGCTTCCTCCTCTCTTCCCAGAAGGTGACCAGCAGAGTCCCCTGCCTCGCTCTCCTCTTCCACTACACCTCCACTGCCAAACTCTCCTTTTCTGCTCTTTCTCTGGGAGCTTGCTTGCTTGTATGGAAGGTCCATGATCAGTTGGGGCACCATCCACTGCACAGTTAAGTGAGGATCCAATATGTTTTCTGGTATCAGAAATCCAGACTCAACTAAGTGTAGCTTGTGCTCAATGAGGCACAGGATATTAAACACAGATTGTGTTCTCACCCCAGACAAATCAGCAAGCCCAAGTATTGTTATCCCAAAAAATCTGAGAGCAAGGACCCGTAAGATCTTCCTGTTTCAGGATGGCTTGAAAGAAATCAAGGGACCAGGACTAGATGGACTCCATCCCAGAATATCAGGTGAAGGGACAAAAACAGGAGCCAGCAATGAGGGTATTCCAGTTGCCCTATGCATATAGAAAATCTCATCTCAATTTCTAAAATTCTAAATTCAAGGCTATGATTTTTGAATTGCTCAATTAATCAGGTCATGGTCATGGTCATTGATTGATTGATTGATTTATATCCTGCCTTTTTCCTACGAATGTACATGTTCAGTCACAAAGTCGTGCCTGACTCTTTATGACCCCACAGACAATATTCCTCCAGGTTCTCCTGTCTTCCGCCATCCCCCGGAGTACACCAAAGCCCACAAACACCTCTCCAGTGACCAGCCAGCCAGCCACCTCAACCTCAGCTTTCCTTTTCTCCTTTTCCCATCGATCATTCCCAGCATTCATCTAGCCCCACCTTTCTCATGATGTGCTCTGCATTTAAGTTAAATAGGCAGGACCATAATATACAGCCTTGCCAAACTCCTTTCTCAATTTTGAGCCTTCAGTGGTTCCATGTTCAGATCTCACTGTTGCTTCTTGACCCACATATAGGTTTCTCAAGAGAAAAATAAGATGGTCCGGTACTCCCATCTCTTTAAGAACTTGCCCCAATTTGTTATGATCCACAAAATCAAAGGCTTTAGCATAATCATTGAAGCAAAAGTAGATGGTTTCCTGGAACTCCCTAGCTTTCTCCATGATCCAGCATATGTTGGCAATTTGAACTCCAGTTCCTCTGCTTCTTTCAAACACTGCCTATACTTCTGGTAGTTCTCAGTCCACATACTGCTAGAGCTTAGCTTGTAGAATTTTGAGCATAATGTTGCTAGTGTGAGAAAAGAGTGCAATTGTACAGTGTGTTTGAACTTCTTTGGCATTGCCCTTCTTTGGGATTGGAATGTAAGATGACCTTTTCCAATCCAGTGGCCACTGTTGAATTTTCCAAATTTGCTGACATATTGAGTGCAGCATTTTAACTACATTGTCTTTTAGGATTTTGAATAACTCAGCTGGAATACTGTCACCTCCACTAGCTTTGTTGTTGCTCAGACTTCCAACGGCCCTTTTGACTTCACATTCCAGGATGTCTGGCTTGAGGTCAGCGACCACTCCATCGTGGTTATCAGGGACATCAAAATATTTATTGTAAAGTGTTTCTGTGTAATTTTTCCACCTCTTTTAAATCTCTGCCTCTGCTAGATCATTGCCAATTTTGTCTTTTATGGTGCCCATCTTTGCAAGACATGTTCCCTTTATATCTCCAAATTTCTTGATGAGATCATTCCCATTCTATTGCCTTCCTCTATTTCTTTACGCTGTTCATTTAAGAAGGCCTTCTTAGCTCTTCTAGCTATTCTCTGGAATTCTGCATTTAATTGGGTATAACTTTCCCTTTCTCCCTTTCTTTTTACTTTCCGTCTTTCCTCAGCTATTTGTAAAGCTTCCTCAGACAGCCATTTTGCTTTCTTGAATTTCTTTTTCTTTGGGTCCGGGGTGTGGTTTGTGCCTTGAACATGGCTGTTTCCTCCAGATCCAAGAGGAAGCAGATGGAAGTTGGAAGAAAGCTTGATGTGAACCATCTTCATCCATGGCAGGTATTTGCTCCCCTTCTAGTTATCTTTGCTGTATATTCCAATTAATTAACATCCCTTCAGGTGTCACTGCCTCAATTGTTTTTACTGACTGGATAGAGCTTCTCCATCTTTGGCTTCAGAGCACATAATCAATCTGATTTCTGTGTTGACCATCTGGTGATGTCCAGGTGTAGAATTGTCTCCTGAGTTGTTGGAAAAGAGTGCTTTCTATGAACAGAATGTTCTCTCGACATAACTCTGCTAGCCTTTGCCCTGTTTCATTTTTTACTCCAAGGCCAAACTTGCCTGTTATTCCAGTTATCTTTTGACTTCCCAGTTTAGCATTCCAATCTCCCATGATGATAAGGACATTATTTTTTTTTTTGGTGTTGGTCCTTGTTTTGTATATTTTCATAGAACTGGTCAACTTCAGCCTCTTCGGCATTGGTGCTTGGAGCATAGACATGAACTACTGTGACGTTGAATGGTTTGCCTGGATTCGAACTGAGATCATTCTGTCATTTTGGAGATTGTATCCCAGTACTGCTTTTCTTACTCTTTTATTGACTATGAAGACTACTCCATTTCTTCTGAGGGATTCTTGCCTGCAGTAGTATACCTGATGGTCATCTGAATTAAATTCACCCATTCCTGTCTGTTTGTGTTCTTTGATTCCCAAGATGTCGAAGTTTAGTCTTGTCATGTCATGTTTCACCACACCCACCTTACCTTGATTCATGGATCTTACATTCCAGGTTCCTATGGATTATAGATCTTTGCAGCATCAGAGTTTCTTTTCACCACCAGATACATCCACAACTGAGTGTCCTTTCAGCTTTGACCCAGTCACTTTATTCTTTATGGCACTACTAGTACTAGCCCTCTGTTCTTCCCCAGTAGCATATTGGACACCTTCCAACCTGAGCAGCTCATCTTCCAGCATCATATCTTTTTGCCTTTTGGTACCATCCATGGGGTTTTCATGGCAAATATACTGGAGTGGGTTGCCATTTCCTTCTCCTGTGCATCATGTTTTTTTAGACCTCTCTGCTATGACCTGTCCGTCTTGGGTGCCCCTGCATGTCATAGCTCATAGATTCATTGCACTATGCTACCCCTTCACTGTGGCAAGGCATGAAGGGATGTTAATTTATCAGAATATTCAGCAAAGATAACTAGAAAGGGAAGCAAATACCTGCCATGGATGAAGATGGTTCACATCAAACTTTCCTCCAACTTCCATCTGCTTCCTCTTGGATCTGGAGGAAACAGCCAAGTTCAAGGCACGAACCACAGCCTGGACTGTGTTGTAAGAAAAGAAGCTGTCCAGAGACAGTGTTCTCTCCTTTTCCACTTGGGGCAGTCCCTCGGGTTTCTCCTTCTCTCTGCATCTTGTCCACACTTTCACTGACAGCACATGTCTTGAATAAGAGCACTTGAATGCTCTGTTCATGAATTCCTCCATAGAGATATAAAAATCATCAAAACCATCATAGTTCATCCCTTTTCTTGTTTGGGGAATGAAAGAAAAATATGTATACACATGTGCAAAAGGTATGCCAGTATAAATGAAATCAAAGGCAAAGTTGGACAAAGTTGTGGTGATCCAGACTTTCCCATTAACAGGTTTCATCAACATTTCAATAGACATTTCTACAATTTCAATTGCATAGAACAGCATATAGATCTCTGCAAAATAAATGAAGACTCTGATTTCAACCAGCTCCTCCAGTGATGGCACATCAATTAGAATATTACCCGATTTCATTTGTGAGATGCTGTGTGAAAAAGTCACACATATCCCATTCCTGAGGAGCTCCGGTTTCAGGGTTCTCATGAACTTTTCTCCATTCTCAGTGTCCACTGAAAAGAGACCCACCATCCTCCACCCGAAATGCAGCAGCAGTTTGACAATTCCTGGATACTGGATGCCTTCTTCAGGGACCATCCTGTAGAAGGAACGGGAGTGGCTTTTATCTCTCAGGACCTGAGAAGTGAAAGCATACGTGACCTGCAAAAAAAAAAAAAAAAGAGGAGAGTGATGCACTGTTTCACTTAGACACCATATCAATGTTTTTTATCTCATGAAACTAAATTACTTAACCTTTAGTTATCTGCATGAATCATTACTCAAAAGGAAGCAATGCTAACAATTTCAGAAAAGTCCAATGTTTAATCGTCATAAATTTTCAACCCTGAAAAATGGATGCCATGAGTTGCCTGGACTCTTGAGCATCTCATTCTCCACCCTGGAGAATAATGTTCCTAGGATGAATCTGAGTAGAATGGGTTCATAGGGGTGATTGGACACAAAGTGTCTGAGTTGGTTCATAGAGTTGGTTCAACAGAGATGCCGTGGACTTCTTCCTGGAGTTTCAGAGCCCTCCTTTCCCTTCTGTAATACAAGGGAAGTAGAAGAAAACCAGCCTTGATGTCCATGATATGATTGGTCCTGAAGTGCAGAATTTTTCACTCTCCATCTGGTCCTAAGACCACCATTATGGTTCCTCTTGTAGGTCAAAGGGGGCTGTTACCCTTTTCATCCCAGGATTGATTAGGATTGTCTATTATCCTTGGAGGGCTATCAGGCATCAAAAGTATTTGGAGAATCTTTGCTTTCTCTACATGGCACCTCCAATTGCTTCCCCCATATCCCGCACCTGTGGAATATTGTAGATGCCCAGCATGTTGGAAAGCTGGATGGAGTTATCTGAGTCTAATGCTTCAAAGACAGCCAGCAAATCATTTTGCTTGCCACACTTGTAATTGGGAACATGGGTCTGGGTAGTCGAGATCAGGTCTATGGCTGCATCCGAAGTCATTCTAGCATCATTAAGGCTGTCGTAGATGTTGTAGCCCAGGGTGATGTTGGGCAAGAGGCTGGGATTCTGGTTGACCTCCTGAATGGCAAACACTAAGGAGAGGACGTTCCAGTAAGAGGTGGATCCCATCCTGTGAAAAAGAAAAGAAATGGGTCCCCCTCTCATCCCATTTGATGAGTCCTTGCCATTTGAGGTTGCATTAACCTTTGCATCCTACTTCTTGGGCTTCCACATGCTCAGCCTGGTCCCAACCCAATGTGAAGCCCAGCTGCCATTTCCAGCAGACTTGCTGGTGGGAATCCAGTGGGTGAGTGGGCCTCTTTCCCATCCAAGAGCAGATCCATTCCTCATTACAAGAGACCTGCTGCACAGGGACATAACCCATGGCAACCCAGTCCAGCTTGTGCAGCCAATCACACTGAAGGAGATCGGTAGAACAGAGGAAAGAAAGGGGGCACATGTTATGGGGCTCAGTGCTCTCCCATTGCCCTGGACTCTCCCCTGGCTCTTGCTGTCCTTCAGTTTGCTGGCAAGGTATTCATGAGAAAGAAACCACCTGGAAGAAAATGGTCTGGCTTTGCATGCCACTGCAAGCCATGCTGCCCAGCTGCCACAGCCTTTTTTAATATCATGGGAACCAGATCAATGATTTACCAAAGCTTTCCATGAGAGGCAGGTTTCTTGAAAGTGTGTGGTCTAAAATGGCCATGTGCCAAAGAGAGGCCAGCACTGAAGACATAGTCTCCTGGCTGGTAGAAATTTCGTGGCTGCAGCTCATCCTGATCCCAGCTCCAGGGGCATTTGGCCTCCAGAATCTTGCAGGAGGCCTGTTGGGGCAGCAACAGCAGCAGGCGAAATAGCATCATCTTAGTAGGCACTTGATATGGACTCTCCACTACCTTTTCAATCAACTAGAGGAATACTTAGAAGCATGATTTTCTTTCCAAGCTGAGGAGGAGTCTAGCCAGCCACGTCTTCAGCAGAAGGAAATGAGAAGTGCTCTGCATGGAGGCCTCCTCCCCAGCTCTCAACCTCTCCCCAGCTCTGAACAGGATGGGAGCTGATTCTGTGCCTTCACTTGTTTGGCTGGATGCAAGACACACCTCTGCAATCTGATGTGTGCATCAGTGGGCTCAGGATGGTGTTGGGGGAAGGGACCCCAGGAGGTTTAGCAAGGAGACCAGTAATGAATTATGATTTCCACAATTATAAAGCCACCTGGCTGGAGCACCTCTGCGACTCCCTGAACACTTTCCTCAGTCCCATGTGCAAGGATCCATCTGGAGAAAGGCATGCGTCTGAGAATTCTTCTGGGAATTCTCTGCTGCAGTCCCTTGGAGGCAAGCAGGATCAAATGACTCCTTTGGTCATGTGCTCTGTAATTGGCCTCGCAGGTTGAGCTTCTGCAGCGCACACTTGCCATTCTACCCTGCACCCATTATGTCCTCTGTAGTGAGGGAATTTGGGGCAGCCAAAACTGTGCTGTACTTTGTTCCTCCCCATTTCTGGCCTGCTCTGCTGGGTCCCTGGATGACCCACTCAGGCCATCTCTAGCCCAGACAACTGCTATCTTCACAAGGCAGAATAATTTTCCTCTTGACCCTCTTTGTGCTCTAGAGATGGGGCAGACTGTGATTCTGATTATGAGAGAATGTCCTTGTTGGAGGAACGATCCTCTTAGTCCCACCCCAGCTATCTTGAAGGACTGGGAAAGAAGCCAATTTCCCTCTGCATTCTCCCCTCCTTTCCTATTTCTCTTGGAAAATGTTTCTCCTTTGCTACCAGTAAAGGTCACTGTCCATCTCTGGCATCCTGTTACCCTTGGGGTGTGTGTGCTGGGACTGCGTGTTTCCCACTGATGTCTCCAGGAGAGGGAGCCAGTTTTAGGATGGGCATGGCTAAAAGCAGAACCTGAACAATGGCTTGACAAGATGAAGCAGAGGGAGTTTGGTTATGCATCCATCTATTGGATCCACAGTGCCATAAACTGGACGGGGGCTGTGAGATCCACGTGTAATCTCTGCTCATCCTTGAAGATCCCTGGATGACTTTTGGTCAGTTGCCCACTCTCAGGCTAACCTACCAGACAGGGTCTTGTTGTCAGGAAAAGGATCAAGAGGAGAAGTAGACAAATTGCCTGTTTTTCTCATCTGTGGAAAAGGACAGGATATAAGTACAATATGATATTAACAATAATACTGACAATAATGTGACGAATATTAATAGAATTACTCCATCATGAAAATTAACCAGAAAACACTTCAGAGAGCAGTCATAATCCAGGAGAGCATCCAGGCTGACAGGTAACAGCCTGCTTATTGAGAAGTTTTCCAAATTCATGCCACATCGAGACAGCCATGTAGATAGTCCCAGTCCAGAGTCACAAGTTCCTGTTTTGGCTGGCAACCATGATGTTCAGAAATGGGACCATCATCCACTGGCAGCCAATTTGAGGTCTCTGGAGGGAAACCGGCATCCTGGATGCCACGAAGGCTTCCTCTGGAGTGCTTCTGGTTGCACACACAGAAACTCCACGAACGGATGAGGAGGTGGTGCAGGGAGGGTGTGTGGCCCAAGGATCTCCTCAGCCCTCCTGTTCCCCCACATGCTACTGGGATATCCCCTCCAGGTTTGCATTTGGCATTGGGAAGTGCCTCCATCTCCCTTTTCCCCCCCTTGCTCAGCCCTCTCCAGGGATCCATTTCAAAGCTGTCATGCCACCTTGGGATTTTGCTGTGTGAGGAATCAGGGAAGAAAGACAGTAGGTCAGAATGGCAGGGACTTTGTAGGTGAGGGAAAGAAGCAGAAAACCAAGAGTGGAAGCTTTGCGTGAGCCTGTGTACTCAATAACTGCGACTCCTGTTTCTCCTTAAGAGATGCTTTGCTATTAGCAGGAAGTCTTCTTTATAGAGACAGTGTAGGGAGAGTAACCTGGGAAACTCCTGTGTGCTTCGTTTTGCTTTTCTATCAGGCTTTGTTGTTGTTGTTAGTTGTGAAGTCATGTCTGACCCATCGCGACCCCATGGACAACAGTCCTCCAGGCCTTCCTGTCCTCCACCATACCCCAGAGTCCACTTAAGCTCACACCAACTGCTTTAGTGACTCCATCTAGCCACCTCATCCTCTGTTGTCCCCTTCTTCTTTTGCCATCTATTGTTCCCAGCATTAGACTCTTCTCCAGGGAGTCCTTCCTTCTCATTAGGTGGCCAAAGTAATTGAGTTTCATCTTCAGTATCTGGCCTTCTAAAGAGCACTCAGGGTTGATCTCATCTAGGACTGACCGGTTTGATCGCCTTGCAGTCCAAGGTGCTCGTAGGAGTCTCCTCCAGCAGCACAATTCAAAGGCCTCAGTCCTTTGGTGCTCAGCCTACCTTATGGTCCAACTTTCACAGCCATACATTGCAACTGGGAAAACCATAGCCTTGACTATACGCACTTTTTTTGGCAGGGTGATGTCTCTGCTTTTTAGTATGCTGTCTAGATTTGCCATAGCTTTCCTCCCCAGAAGCAAGTGACTTTCAATTTCTTGGCTGCAGTGATCTGCGGTGATCTTGGAGCCCAGAAAAATAAAATCTGTCACTACCTCTATTTCTTCCCCATTGGTTTGCTAGGAATTGCGACATGCATAAATTTTGGTTTCTGACAAATGGGGATGGTGTCTCGAATCCTTCCGTCTTGCACTCGTGTTTCTGCAGTGTGACTCTAATAGAACCATCATGAACACGGTAAAGAATGCTAGATCAGATCTATCATATTTTAGGCGGCATCTTTGCAGTAGTAGTTCCCCTGAACTGGGCTGAACTGTCTTTTTTTTTCTTTTCAGTGCCAGGTGAAGACATATCTTTTAGGAAAAAGTTAATGCTTAGCCCCTGAATGATGTGGCCCTTTTTATACTGTTATTATAGATGTTTTAATTTGTTCGTGTTTTAATAGGTTTTTAATGTGGTTTATCATGTTTTAGAATGTTTAATGTATTGTAAGCCACCTAGGAAGGTCTCAGCAGTTTTAAGTGGCATATAATGTGAATAAACAAACAAAGAATCAAACTGGACCATCCAAGTCAAGTCAGCCAAAAAAGCTAGGGGACAGAGCTTTTTGAAAAGTCCTAGAATCATAGAACAGAAGGGGGCATGAATGTACTCCTTTTGCTTCTTTTGTCCAGTCCCACAATGGTTGCTGCTGCTGCTTTGGTTTTGGTGGAAGGGACAGAAAATGGCACCTGCGACCTCCCACATGCCACCTGTGTCTCTTGGATCAAACAGTCAGGAACTATAGGCAAAAAAGTGCTTGGCCACCTCCCTTAAGAGGCTGGTTTGTCTGCCCAAAGGGACTCAGACCATCAGTGGCCAAGTCTGGTTGTTTTGACTATTACAATGTAGATGGCTTGATGGGCTTTTCTGGTAACCCTGAGCCTAAACCAGTCTACTGGCTCCTTTGCACCAGTCTGCTTCCCAATAGATATTCTGTGGAGGGTCCTCCAAAAGATAGAATTAAGTATTTGGAAAAACAAGGGGAAAATCTGAAGGATAAATGCAATGTGGATTCCTTCTGCTCAACCCTCCGCACCTTCTTATGATTTGTTCTGATGGCACCACTTGAGACTGCCCTTTTCCCAATCCATCTCATTCTTGGACACTCAACCACTACCCGAATGCAGAAGGCAAAACTGCACAGGGCAGGAAGGATGGTCAGGACAGGCTAAAAAAGGATCAGAAATTGATTTCTCCTGCTGGGAGCATGACTGAGAAAACGAGGAATGACTATATGAGAGACTTGCATGACCAACCTTGGCTCCTTGTTTGCATTTTAAAGGAAAATGTGCTGGAGAACTTTTGAACCTACCACCAAGGGAGGGTTAAATGTGGTTGGAGAAGCCTTTCCTTGTTGTGTGAGTTGGGAAAAATGGGGAAGCTGAATGATTCTGGAACACAGGGGGCAGATACAGATGGAGAAATGAGTAGGCGAGTCCATCTAGGATCAGAAAGCCTTCATCAAAGGGA